TAGTAATATAAATAAAAATAAATATCTATATTTTAATTTAATTATATTATAAACGCTATAATAATAACTAGCTATTTAAGTATTTTAATAAGTAATATAAAGTAAACTTATATATTTAGTTATATATTCTAAAGTTAAGTAGAATTGCTTATAATCTTAATTAATTCGTTCTTACGTTAATTAAAATTAACGTTAATTCCCGTCGACCGCTTCTTGATTAGCTGCGCGGCCCGACGTTAATCCGGGAGTGCCTACCCTGTAGGCCCCTTGTCGCGACCATAAGAGCTGGGTCGTGACAGAGGTGTTTGATCCTCACTTGTGTATCCTGAAAATGGAGGGCATTATATTATCCACTGTGAAATTTTTGCCGATAACAGAGGTTCTTTTATACAGCGACGAGTTTTCAGGCGAAGCACTATTTTCAGACGGCGATCTTTGGGATAGGGCAATACGGATGTTTTGGCATGCCGGAGAGGCCAAAGATACTCCAGAGAACAGGCTGGATATTGTCAACAGCCTGGATTCACTTTGCATTTGTTATAGAAGATTCTTACAAGCTAAGGGTACTGCAAGCACGCCTAGAACATCGCTGGAACGACAACGCCGGCGGGAGAGGAAGTCTACGACGAGAGAACCATCTCCCAGCATACAGAAAGATAACATCCAACCGACTTTCCTAGGATTAGCTGCACGATTCTCCGTCCTATCATACATTAAAGCAATGGTACATTCAAATCGGACATGTTTGTGCGAAAACTTTTCCAACAATTCCTTCGGCCTTCTTGAAAATGCTATTTTCGGTTACACCCATTACCAGCTTAACAAGGTTTCCGGAGAGGACTTTCAACCTCAAATTCCGTACAGCCGGAGATTAGCTACCGTGAAGTACTTATTAGAAAGGGGGGTTTACCAATCAGAAGTGCACTCAAAGGACGGAATAAGTGACATAAGAGAGGAAATACAAAACGTCTCCTCAGTCGACCCAGCATATTATTCCACGGTGATGGGATATTTGGATAAGAGAAGTTTAAGATCAAGGGCTAAATATATAGAACTACGCATCAGGTCTTTCCTTTCTGGAGTAGGGTCATAAAGTACCTAATTTCTATAATACAGTCTAATTTAAAGTAATCTGTTTTATTTTATTGCGTGTTGGCGTTCGATGTTAATACTTGACCTCTTTGCTAATATATACATTTGCTATTTTTTATTCTTATTTGTTATTAGAGATGTAGTAAATGTAGTAGATGTAGTAGATGTAGTAGATGTAGTAAATGTAGTAGATGTAGTAGATGTAGTAAATGTAGTAAATGTAGTAAATGTAGTAAATGTAGTAAATGTAGTAAAT